CATGGATCTTATAGGTCCAAGTAACAAGGATATATTCTCAAAATACATGCATATGCTAAAATGGGTCACTGTTTGCATAAAACATGCAATATGTTGGCAGATGTTGTAACTGTATATGCAGATAACGATTTAAGTACGAAGATTTGATTGCTTACGAAAGTTTCCATTTGCGCATATTGCACCTGTATGTTTCTGAATACATCAGATACTTACATTTTGTTTTTTCCACAGTATTTTAAAAACTAATCAGTATTCTTATCATATTCTCTACGTGTCCATATAATTACTATTAGAACATCAAAGTGGCATTACTTAATTTCACAGAGTAGCGAAAAGGGTGACCACTTTACTTGCATTCGTTTGTGCGTACTTCCCAGGACTATTTCAATGTGTATTTTGGGATGTTTAGCCGTTTCACTTGTTTTTGATTGTCTTAACAGAATTGAGATACTAGAGAAGGGAACATGCTCCCTAGAAAGCCTCTCTTTGTTTTATTTAATGATGTAAAACATCAGTGACAGTTGTTATACTGTATAATGATTTTTCCTTAGCAGGTGGGAAATGGCAGAGCCAGTGAGAAGAGACCACCTGGGAGTGCAAAATAATGTAATGCAAATAAGTGGAACACCCCTCTTAAGCAAAATTAATCGATCTTATTTTCAAGAACAAAAGACCTGAGCTGCCGCTTCAGTCTTCTGAAGTTATTCGTAGGTCAGGGAAACTGAAGGAAACAAGGATGCAAACAAAGCAGATATTGAAAGCAGTGGCACAAAACGAATACGTTATCATGCTGAGAAGTTGTGAGTAGCAGGAAAAAATTAAGGTGTATTTGTTAGAACTGTACTGTTGATGAAACTTATTGCATCTGGCTGTATGAATCCTGAGATCACTAAATCTGGACATTCCAGATCTAGTTTCCCTCAAAATTATTCCATGACAGTAATCTACGGATGACCTACCAAAAGTCACGAATAGTATACAGCTCCTTGAACTGATTTGTAATCTACAGCTTTACTCACAAACAGCACCACACAAACACAGGTACATCACAAATAAGCACCGATACCCACACAATGCATCCTCTTTGCTTTAACAGCATAATCAGAAATACTATTATATCACTTAAATTGCCTACACTTTAGAAACTAAACACAGTCAAGAAACTAGTGTGCAAACGTGACGTAGTAACTTGTGTTTTACACTTTGAAAGAGGCTTCTCAAGTTTCTGGTAACACAGTCTTTTGTCACAGCACCATGGCAGAATCTGTTCAGGAATACACTTTTTCAGTCTATTAGGGCCTGATGCGGGAGCAGGAGGAGACAGCGTCCAGCTGAGAACGTCTAGCAAAGGTTGCATGATCGATTTGTCAAAGCAGTAAGGAGGGAACACAGAGGACCTTATTTTTTTATTACATTGAAAAGTGCTGATGGCTCTGCTCAGGTTGCTTTCCTGTCCATGTCTTAAAAGCAACAAATAGAAGGCTGCAACAGCATGTATGTAACAGCATATATAGTACAAAGGAAAAAAACAGGTAGACAATTAAAAGGAGGGAAAAGATGAAAAAACCCTGCTCATTTAGCTTTTTGAGCCAAGCCCTGATTGGCTTTTTCGGA